CCACTTCGAAGCGTTTCTCCAAGTCTTCCCTGTCAACACGCGTGGGGCTGCCTCATTCTCAGCCACCCAGAGTGATAGCCCATTGTAGCAACAGTGTTTGGTTTGTCCATGACCTGAAGCAGTGCAGAGCTAGAAATGGACACTCAGCCCGAGGGGAGGACGCCATCTCCTCCCAGCCCAGTCAACTTTCCTCCTACATTCACATGGTAGGTATTTTTTCCTCTTTTTTTAAATGCAGTTTCCATTAAATGCATTAATTTATAAATGCATTATAAGCACAATCAATGCATTTCCCATGTCATTGGATGCATAATCGCAGTACAAATCCAGAGTAAGCAGAGTGACATTCCCGCCTCACTCCAGCAGGTAACAGTTCCCTGTTGTTCGATACCATCAAGTCAAGGTGAGCTCCATGTGTACATGAAGCATTGCCGGTCCCGTACCATCCTCACATTGTTAGGTCTGAGCCCATCATTGCAGCCACTGTGGCAGTGCATTTTATTGTCTTCCGCGTTTTTTGGCTGGCCCTCTAACCAAGCATGGTGTCCTTTTCCAGAGACGACCTCTCGAGTTCTGGTGGTGTCATGGTTCACGCTTAGGACTATGGGCCACATGGTCAGCAGTTGGGCAGCTCCGCGGGAGAAAGACTGGGCCAGTCCTGGGAACCCACAGTGAGTCAGAGTCAGTGGTTTTTGAGCCGATGGCAGTGAATTTGGGTCTTTTTGTTTTCCAATTAAGCATCACCATCCTCGCTCCTCAGGAGCATTTTGGCTGTACCTCATCCAAGATGGATTTGCTACGGCCTTTGATTTCTGGACTTCTGCTTCTATTGCCATTGACTGTGGATCCAAATAAAATGAAATCCCTGACTTTTCTGTATTTATCAGAATACTATCCAGTTGTGAGGATTTTAGTGTGCTTTATGCTTGCGCTATAATCTATAGTGAAGGCTATATATATTTGACCTTTAAGTCCTCTTCACTTTCAGCTAGCAAGGTTGTGTCATCTGCATATCTCAGATATGCTTTGCAAATCTCAGATGTTCTTCATATAGACCAGCTTCTCTGGTTATTTGCTCGGCACTCAGGTTAAAACTAAGGGTAAATATGGCAAATATGCCTGATTCCAAACTGTGCAGCACCCAATTCTGTTAGAATGACTGCCTCTTAGTCTATGCACAGATTCCACATGAGCACAATGAAGTGTTCTGGAGTCCCCAGTCTTTCAATATGCCCCCTGATTTGTTGTGATCCCCACAATCAAATGCCTTTGCATAGATAACGAAATGTAGGGAAACTGCTTCCTGGTATTCTTTGCGTTTA